GTATTTGGTTTAAATTTATTCATTGCTTATTTAAGTAATTGAAATGAGTGGAGGCATATCGCAGTAATCTCTGAAGAGTTAGAGCTTTAAAATATAAAGCTCTTAATTGTTATGCTTTAAAAAAAGAAAGTTTGTATTGGAGTCATTGAAATAGTTCATCCAGAGTTCATCATTATAGGATCAATCTTCTTTGTGGTTCTAAAGAGGGGTACCTTCATATTTAACCATCTTGAATATGAAATCTCCAGTTGAATCCCTTACAAGGTGTAAATGGGGAAATGAGAATTTATCTGTTGTGTCTTCGAAAGCGTTCAAGACCATTCTGAAATCTCTGGATTTTAGAGTCTACAGAACAGTGTTAATAGAGTGGAATGTTACCATTCTGCTAAAATTAAGCTTAGCAACCATGCATATGGTTGTTATTTAAACTTGTTACCTTTTCACAGGTACTCACAAAAGGCCCATTTCAGTTTGCTAGGACAAGCAGTTCTACAAGTTTTTGGGCTATCATCCTATTATACTCATTTGTTGAAAGAGTTTAATCTGTGACTTAAGGCAATCATCAGGTTTGCAAGAAAGCAGTAACATCAGAGACTTGAGCGCTAACAGTGTTCTGGCTGCTGCTTTGGAAAGATTTCAGGCTAGATGGAAGAATGGAGATGCTCCTTTAATACAGCTTCCCTCATCCAGTTGCTGTCCCCTAGCACTTGCTCAGCTTCCAAGCATATCCGTTTTCAGGATGGATGTTATTCAAATCATGATTGACTCACAGTTTCAGCAGAAATGTATTTGAGTGTTATCTGTGGTTATTCCAGTGCAATGTTTTTTTGCACAAAGGTTCCACAGTAATTTATTAATTTCTAAATTTGAAAGTACTCATCATTTTGGCACGCAGATATTTCCAAAGATGAATGCCACAACCTATCTTCAGGAATACTGTTCATAAGAGGACAGGTGAGAGGTAACCACTTGGAAACCCAGCTAATCTTTTTTCCCTTCCGAACTTGTGGTTCCTGTAATGATTTGTTTCATGCACCACAGTGACCCATTTAATTTGACAGAACATCTCTGCTATTACTTAGAATAAGGTAGCTTATGATCTTGCTTTGAGTACCTTTTGGTGAGCATGTTGCAATGTAATGAGAACATCCATGCAGATTTGCCAAGCCAAAAGGATATATATAAAAAAGAATAACCGGGATCAGACTGTGCTCTGAACTGTCATAAATTTGTTCAAGGAATTGACCAAATGACCAAAATGTAGATATATCTTGGATGTATCTACATTGGAAGGGGGAGGAGTGAATAATGTTTCTAAAAAGAAAAGAATTTGAAAACAACAAACCTGGATGCCTGATCTCTAATACAGTCAGAAGGCTCTTCTGTGGCTTACTACATACTCCTTTTATTATGAAAACTGTTACAAAGGGTGAAGCAAAAAGATCCTGATCACACTTTAACTCAGGAGTTTCTGAGCCTACGTCTTCAGAACTGTGGCAAGCTTTGAATCTAAGTCTGCAGGATTTGAAAGATAAACATTAGTCCCATCTTCTGGCAAAGTCCTAGATCATGATAATGAAAAGAAATTCTACTACCTATGGAAAGAAGTGGATGAAGCTTGGTTACTGATGCATTGAAGGATACGAAGCGTATTTGAATGGGTACTGTAAAAGTTCCTAAGTTCATCTGTTTGTCAAAACCCTGAGGGGTCTTGGGACCTATGACTTAACAAAGTAGATGTATAGAAACTTGCATCTATTTGATTGTAAAAGAGAAGACATGAAGACATCTGTTTTCAGAGGGTAATTACTCTCTCCTCAGCTCTTTGATTTTGTATTGATTATTCTCATATCGTTCAAAGTGAGTTCAAGATTTTATAAAGCTCTTGAAGCCCAGTGGTGTATTTCAGCTTTCAGATCTCTGCAACTATCACGGCAACTTAAAAACTTTTTGTGCTCATTCAACGGAGTTTTTTTCATTATGCTTGATGAAGATGGTGGTACTACTTAGTCATCCTACCTTTTATGCCCTAGTTCAACCTGATATTTTCATATACTTGGGCCAGCTTTTTTGTCCTAGATCCAGAAATCTCATAGATGCAAACCAGTAATGATCAAGTCTAGTTCTGAGGATCGCCATCAAGATGCACTGGAATATGAAGAAATCTGTGAGTAATCTGTAACTCTGTGTGCGATCATCTTGCCATTTAGGAAAAGAAAACTTTGAAGGTGTCCCTTTCTTCTCAAAAAGGTGTTGTCAACAGATTGTGGTTATAGTAACTTACTAAAACATTACTGTTCAATTGTCAAGAGAGATGAAGATGGTGCATCAGAAGAGCTCTGTATTTAGAGGGAATATGTATGCAAGTTGTGATGTGATCATCTACTTATATGTTCTCAACTTTGACATTTTGGATGATGAAAAGCTGGCTGCAGCATTTTGAGCCTGGTCAATTGCAGAAGTTCAAGCGAGAAAATTGGTCCTACTTGAATTGTTTTCTTTTTTTAATCTTGGAGCCTTCAGCATGAGGGCTCTGAAAGGTGAGTTTTGGTTGATCCAGCTACAGCTGTTTCAGGCATCACAGCTCCTGCCTCTGCCTTGCTCCTAAAGTAGAGGCAGCAGAGGGAAACATTTGCTTGGCTCTTAACAGACTCATTCAGCTTGGTAGGTTAATGCAAACCATCTTCACTAGTGCCTTAAGGTGGTGCATTGGACAATGAAGTGGACTGTGGAAATATGAAGGCGTGTTCCCTTCTGCTACAGGTGATAACCTCAGTTAAAGGAATGGGGCAGATAACAATAATGTCTTAAAGGCTACTGTTAGATCCACCATCAGAGATTTACAGGACTTTTTCAGTGTGACTGACATTTCTGGGATAAAATGAAAAAGCTGACTGACTTTTTCCTAAGAACACAAGTTTCTCGATTTGTGTTTCAAAATTTAAAGTTTTACGTGAGAAATAAGGTAATGATGTGTGTGGACATATTTGGATTAACATCTGGGTTTTTTTAAAAAAAAAAAACAAAAATCAAATTTGAAACCTATTAGTCTGGAAGCTTCTGCATCATGACCATTCCTAAGACCTGCCATGAAGCTGAGTGGTCAAAGCCCTCTGTAGTTACAGGGAGAAAAAGTCACTGCATGAAAGTTTAAAAAAAAAATATTTGTGTTAATCAA